GGAGCAAGCAATCTTGTTGGGAGTGTTTTCTCGAATGTGAGTAAAGGTTGGGCATGTTTGCTAGTCTACCTTGCCACGAAGCACAGAGGTTGACACACAGGGACTTTCCAATTATCCAGCAATGGTACTGTTCCTTTACCCTCTCTTCGATTTTTAAGAAAGTAGTCATGTTGGGAGTCTGGCTCTCGAGATTCGGAGGACGGTGCCTCTTCGATTTTGGAGCAAGCAATCTTATTGGGAGTGTTTTCTCGAATGTGAGTAAAGGTTGGGCATGTTTGCTAGTCTACCTTGCCACGAAGCACAGAGGTTGACACACAGGGACTTTCCAATTATCCAGCAGTGGTACTGTTCCTTTACCCTTGTGGGTAATAATATGGTAGCTAGACCTTCAAAATTTATGGGTCTAAACTTTGTTAGTGCTGTTTCTTTGCTATTCTTTTACCCTTCTTGGTCAGAGCGATGTAGTGGGAGCTGCAAGCTTCACGTGCTCAACTTTGGCAGAGAACTTTGGCAAAGTTATCTGTGGTACCCATGAGCTATTGTTGCGTGTGGGAAGTGGGTGATTGAACAGTAAGATTCATGTGTTTTCTACTTCCCCAGAAGTCTTTGACAGAATGCCCATAATTTCCGCAAAGCTGAGTGTGCGTGTGACAGGTGCTGACAAGGCTGGAAAAGGCTGGAAAAGTAGGTGCCTCTTCGATTTCTGAGATCGGCCCTCGTGGTCTCTGGGAGCCCAGCTTTTGAGAAAGCGAGCGCCTCTTCGATTTTTTGAGATCGGCCTTCGTGGTCTTTGAGCAGCCCAACTTTTGAGAAAGCAAACGCCTCTTCGATTTCTGAGATCAACCCTCGTGATCTCTAAGCAGCCCAGCTTTTGAGAAAGCAAACGCCTCTTCGATTTCTGAGCAGGCGCCTCTTCGATTTCTGAAGCTTCCGTCGAGTGCAGATTTTTTATAGGGGCTGGCATTAAGTTCCAAAGCACACTTGAATCTCCACCAGTAGAAGCTTCATTCTTGCACTTCTAAGATCTTGATTTGTCCGACCTCTTCTCTCTCTCTTCAACACCTTTGAAAATGTCTGGCCCCTCCGACCGTCGTTTTGACTTGAACCTTGTTGAAGAGGCAGCCCCGCCTTCTCCAGACAACATATGGCGCCCATCCTTCGTCTCCCCTACTGGTCCTCTTACCGTTGGGGATTCCGTGATGAAGAATGATATGACCGCTGCGGTGGTGGCCAGGAACCTTCTCACTCCCAAAGATAACAGACTACTTTCCAAACGGTCTGATGAGTTAGCTGTTAAGGATTCGCTGGCTCTCAGTGTTCAGTGTGCAGGTTCTGTGTCTAATATGGCCCAACGCCTATTTGCTCGAACCCGCCAAGTTGAATCATTGGCGGCTGAAGTGATGAGTCTCAAACAGGAGATTAGAGGGCTCAAGCATGAGAATAAACAGTTGCACCGGCTCGCACATGACTATGCTACAAACATGAAGAGGAAGCTTGACCAGATGAAGGAAACTGATGGTCAGGTTTTTACTTGATCATCAGAGATTTGTGGGTTTGTTCCAAAGGCATTTATTGCCTTCGTCTTCTGGGGCTGTACCGCGTAATGAAGCTCCAAATGATCAACCTCTGATGCCTCCTCCTTCTAGGGTTCTGTCCAGTACTGAGGCTCCAAATGATCCCCCTCCGGTGCCTTCTCTTTCTGGGGCTCTACCGACTGCTGAGACTTCTCCTAAGCAACCTTTGTGAAGGCTCCCTCTTGTGTGTTTATTTTGACTCATGTATATGTACATATTTGTAGCTTATCGGGGATATCAATAAATAAGCTTTCCTTCATTTCAACGTATTGTGTTAAATACACCAAAGCCTTCTTCGCTAAGTTCTTTGAATTTTCTTTTGTTGAAGCTTGTATGTTGAAGCTTTCTGAGTGGAGCATGTAGGTTGGGGTAGTGTTCCCTTAATTTCCCCGAGTGAGGAAAACTTCTCGGTTGGAGACTTGGAAAATCCAAGTCACTGAGTGGGATCGGCTATATGAATCTTAGAACGCCATTGTGCTCGATCCTGTGTCATGTCCTTCGTTAGATCCAAGTACTCTAAGTCTTTTCTTAGAGTCTCTTCCAAAGTTTTCCTAGGTCTTCCTCTACCCCTTCGGCCCTGAACCTCTGTCCCATAGTCGCATCTTCTAATCGGAGCGTCAGTAGGCCTTCTTTGCACATGTCCAAACCACCGTAACCGATTTTCTCTCATCTTTCCTTCAATTTCGGCTACTCCTACTTTACCCCGGATATCCTCATTCCTAATCTTATCCTTTCTCGTGTGCCCACACATCCAACGAAGCATCCTCATCTCCGCTACACCCATTTTGTGTACGTGTTGATGTTTCACCGCCCAACATTCTGTGCCATACAGCATCGCCGGCCTTATTGCCGTCCTATAAAATTTTCCCTTGAGCTTCAGTGGCATACGGCGGTCACACAACACGCCGGATGCACTCTTCCACTTCATCCATCCAGCTTGTATTCTATGGTTGAGATCTCCATCTAATTCTCCGTTCTTTTGCAAGATAGATCCTAGGTAACGAAAACGGTCGCTCTTTGGTATTTCTTGATCTCCGATCCTCACCCCTAACTCGTTTTGGCCTCCATTTGCACTGAACTTGCACTCCATATATTCTGTCTTTGATCGGCTTAGGCGAAGACCTTTAGATTCCAACACTTCTCTCCAAAGGTTAAGCTTTGCATTTACCCCTTCCTGAGTTTCATCTATCAACACTATATCGTCTGCGAAAAGCATACACCAAGGAATATCATCTTGAATATGTCCTGTTAACTCATCCATTACCAACGCAAAAAGGTAGGGACTTAAGGATGAGCCTTGATGTAATCCTACAGTTATGGGAAAGCTTTCGGTTTGTCCTTCATGAGTTCTTACGGCAGTCTTTGCTCCTTCATACATATCCTTTATAGCTTGGATATATGCTACTCGTACTCCTTTCTTTCTCTAAAATCCTCCAAAGAATGTCTCTTGGGACCCTATCATACGCTTTTTCCAAATCTATAAAGACCATGTGTAAATCCTTTTTCCCATCTCTATATCTTTCCATCAATCTTCGTAAGAGATAGATTGCCTCCATGGTTGAGCGCCCTGGCATGAACCCGAATTGGTTGTCCGAAACCCGTGTCTCTTGCCTCAATCTATGCTCAATGACTCTCTCCCAGAGCTTCATTGTATGACTCATTAGCTTAATACCCCTATAGTTCATGCAATTTTGTACGTCGCCCTTATTCTTGTAGATAGGCACCAAAGTGCTCATTCGCCACTCATTTGGCATCTTCTTCGTTTTCAAAATCCTATTGAAAAGGTCAGTGAGCCATGTTATACCTGTCTCTCCCAAAAGTTTCCACACTTCGATTGGTATATCGTCTGGGCCTATTGCTTTTTTATGCTTCATCTTCTTCAAAGCTACAACCACTTCTTCCTTCCGGATTCGACGATAAAAAGAGTAGTTTCTACACTCTTCTGAGTTACTCAACTCCCCTAAAGAAGCACTCATTTCATGTCCTTCATTGAAAAGATTATGAAAATAACCTCTCCATCTGTCTTTAACCGCGTTCTCTGTAGCAAGAACCTTTCCATCCTCATCCTTGATGCACCTCACTTGGTTTAGGTCCCTTGTCTTCTTTTCCCTTGCTCTAGATAGTTTATAGATATCCAACTCTCCTTCTTTGGTATCTAGTCGTTTATACATATCGTCGTAAGCCGCTAACTTAGCTTCTCTGACAGCTTTCTTCGCCTCTTGCTTCGCTTTTCTATACCTTTCACCATTTTCATCAGTCCTCTCCTTGTATAAGGCTTTACAACATTCCTTCTTAGCCTTCACCTTTGTTTGTACCTCCTCATTCCACCACCAAGATTCCTTTTGGTGTGGGGCAAAGCCCTTGGACTCTCCTAATACCAAATAAACATAAAAATCAAAATTTACCAATAAACCCACATTTAATACTCACACCCTTACAATCACGCTATGATTCTTTTACGTTCTGTTTTGGTTAAAACCCTAAGACGTTGTCAAAGAGAAAAATAAACTTTTTTTTTACGGATGGATGATAATTTTCAAGTTTTAGTTTACGTTCTGTTTTGGTTAAAACCCTAAGACGTTGTCGAAGAAAAAAAATAAACTTTTCTTTTATGGATGGATGATAATTTTGAAGTTTTATATCCTCTATACAAAGTATGCATCAATTTATGTTAATTTTTTATTTGATTTCAATTCTTTATTTTGAGGCTTTAGTAGCAGTTTTATACTGCCTGCAAATAGGCTTGAAATCAAAGGATAATAAAGGTGGATGATGTATTTTCTGGTATTTTGTTTCTCACCACATGTTCTAATTTTTTCAAAGATCCATATATATGGCTAATCATTTTTACCAAGGATCACCTTGGAGACAAGTTTTAGTGGTAGTGATAAATATATGGCAGACCATGGTAAAGTCAAATAATTGAATTGGGTAATTATACTTGGTAAAATCTCATTGAAACAAACTTGCTCAGAGTATCAGGTGTGAAAGAAATCCATACGATTATTCAATCCAATTTTCTCACAGTTCTCCACTAATTCAATCTCTAAATCACTACACTCTGTACGATTGGAAAATGCTACATTTCTACAAACTAAAAAAATATTTTGAATACCTCAACGCTTGGGTTGGTTGGGTGAAGAAAACGAGCAATGTGAAGTATGCAACAAAAGTATGATTAAATACGAGACAAATATGTAAGATATACTGTTGTTTTTAAGTTTGAATGAGTTGTAGAAAACTGATTTTGTGTTTTTATTTTATCAATGAGTGTAAAGTAAAGATAAACTTACATATTGAATTGAGTTTGTAAAGATAATTTAGATAGTAAATATGGATTTAAAGAGATATTGATGATTTAATTAAAATTAATATTGATATAAAAAATAAATTGGGCATAAAAATAATTATATGGGTTCAAATAAAATTTCTCAAACCCTAATCATAGACTCGGACAGTTATGTAAAATAAAGTTTTGTGCTTGATTTTTGTGGTGCTGCAATTTTAGGGTTTTGCAGTGGCAGCCCAACGCAGGGACGACGGTCAAAAGTCAGATCATAAACGAAGTCACGCAGTGCGTCGAGAGCATCAATGGCGTCAAGGAAGGAAGGTGGAAAGCCACCATCACCTTCTACAAATCCATCCTTCGAGGTAGTTTACCAAATTTCTCGTCTTTCAAGTCTTAATTTGTTTTGTTTTTGGATGTTGTTTGTGGGTTTTGTTAATTGTTTGAAAGATTGGATTTTGATATGGTACATTGTGTGTGCATCATCAGAGCCATCTTTAACCGGGGAACCCCCGCGTGATCTTCTGGGGATTGCGGTTGCGGCGGATAATTCTCGAGGTGGATTCAGCGATTCAGGCGATTATGGAGAAGTGACAGTCGTACAAATTGAGGGTCTCGCTTTATTTTGAGCTTCCCCCCTCCAATTGGCGTAGTTGGAAGGTTTGATGTACTGAATTTGGAGGTGGAAATCGAGAAAACGGTTTTACTTGATTCTTTGTGGTTTATGGTTTGATGTGTAGGGGTTTCAGTTTCAAGTCGGGGACCTACAATTGAGAGTGGGGAAAGTTATTCCTACTCATTCGGAGAATTTAAGAGGAATAGCTATGGAGGTATGGACGTTGCTATAAGCTTGAAATTTGGTTGAGATTTGAATATTTCGTTTTTTACGAGTTTTAGAAGTTAGATGTGCATTTTGAAATAGCTTTGAAGTTTGACAAAGCTTGCCATTGAGAAGGTGCCTTTTGGTTTTATGTGAGTATTTTCCTTGCTTCTTACGGAGCTCTCTGATGGAACGTTTAATGCTGATAGAAATGCATGGTGAAAGTAGTTTACTTGTTTAGGCACCTTGATTACTGTTGTGCACGAGTTTGGAATACAGGGTGAAGTACTCTTTGCCGAGCAATGTGATTAACAAGCCTCTGGCTAATATATGAAAGTTGGATTTTTGACGATTGTTCGTTCTAATTAAGCTTTCACTTTATAGATTAGTGACTCAAATAAGTAATGTTGGATTTCTTAATCTCCATGTTATTCTGGTTCTGAGAAATAGTTTCATGTTAACTCTGTGTTCTGCAGCTGAAGTACTTTCACATTTCTTCGATGGAAAAAGCGAGGCAAGTAATGGAAGAGTTCATGGATATGTGGCAGCAGGCTTTGTCGAAAAGATCATTACCGGGGCACTACATGCATGTGGGACCAAACTTTTCCGAGTATGGCCTTGCAGACCAATGTACTTCACAACATACTGCTGTCCAGTATGCTGCCATTATGGCTCAACTCATTGCGACTGTGCAAGCAGTGCAGCAATCAGCAAGAAATTAGGAAACGAAGAAAAAGAATTTGATGTGTGTCACTCATCAACTGGTTTGAGGAATGGATGATTCCAATTCCATATCTTCTTAGCGCTGACTCTCCCGCTCTTTGGATAGAAGAAAACGGGGAGGAATGGAGTTCTGTATGCGGGTTTGATTGTCCATGGAAGAATAGAAAGCAAACGATAGGATGTTTGAAATAAAAAAGAAGTAATTTCTTGAGAACCCTTTTCCCTCACCTTGTTAATTATGGCTTGGAGTAAAGCCGATTCTGCGTTTATTTTCTGTGATAATTTTGACATGATCATATTCCACATCCCCAATGTCCAGAACTTCATTCTTGTTTCTCTGACATACGATGAACATATTTGCAGAGGAATCGCCAAGAGAAGGAACCATTTTTTTCCGGAAAAAAAGATTTGTTGTTTTGATAAACCTCTTGAAATAACGTAGTACATATATACATACAAAAGCAAAACAATGTTTAGGAGTTCCCCCCAAAATGATAAACCTCTTGAAAATGAGAACAACTTGTATTGCCATAGGTTTGTTCGTCACAATGGTGTTCTATGTCGATAACATAAGAACGTGTGGAAAAAAGCTAAAATGTGTTCTTATATTATTGGGATGTGACGTTACTTGGCGGTAAACTTGTAACGTGCAAGTCATTCTCCATGAAAATATGATGAAATTAGAATATAGGGAAAAGTTTTTCAAAAAGACCAAAATCATTCCCAAGTATTGAGACAAACTTTTCTACACCTGGTATCTCATTGTTGCGTTTTAAACCAATGATACAATATAACACATGAGAAAGCCGCATTTTGTTGTCCAGTAGCATCCTAGCATCCTGGGTGTAGTGAAGGGAAAAATCTTAGGTAAAACCGTTCTCTCTCTCTTTTAACACGTGGCATGGCAGAAGCCGTTTGTAGTTCTGTGCATGTGGTAACCATTTAGGAGATTATCGTAAAAAGTCACGTGACTAACCAAGTCAATCCACAAGTATTTTCAACCTGGGCCTTTTCCATGTGTTTCGGATAGGCTGAACTGTAGAGCCCTTGTTGAACTGAAGTACTATAACCCATGCGAATCCGCAAAGAATAAAATTTTATGCTTTTTGCACGTACTGTGTAAATTAAGAGAGAGAGAAAAACTGGTGCGAGTGGGAACAAAAGGGCCGCAAATCCACGTGAAGCCGCACACTAGCACTGCAGAGGCCCTTACCGCCCCTATAAAACCTCCGCTTGTTGAACAGAAGAGGAAGAGAGGGCGTTGTGTTCATCAGCCACCACTCTCTCTCCTCTCTCTCTCTCTCCCCTCCAATACAGGTGAGCCTCCACCACCTTCATCATCATATCATATCATCGTTCTGCATAGGTTATACATGTTTTTTATTTGGGTTTCTTGTTTACAATCAGGGGTTACCAATTTTTTTCTCTAATTTTATTCATTCTTTCTCTGAAGATTCTCGTTTAACCTCCAATGGAGCCAGAACCAGCTCCCAGAAAGGTTTGTTTGATACACACACACACACACACATATATATATATATATTCTGCAGTTATTCGGTTCTCTTTTGTTTTTTGTTTTTTTCAGTCGTTAAAAGGTTTCACTGATCGTGTTTTTTCTGATATGTTTTTGCTCGCTGCAGAGGAGATTCATACCGAAAGCTGCCCCGCGCCGGGTTCCAAAACCTGAAGTCAAAATGTATGTTACACTTATGGTTAAAAGTTAAAACTCGATGGCAATGCCTATATGCCCTTTGTTGGTTTAATTTGATTTTTAACTTGTGCTGTTCTTAATCTCTTGGTCTTCAGCGAAGCGGACCATGTGACGGAGGAGTCTGATGCTGAAAAGGCTAGGGAACTGCTGAAACGATTCAGTGTATGTAACTGTGTTGAGCAAATGTACTTAATTTCAGTTTTTATTCCAATATCTCATGTTATTTTTTGTTTATTTTCGTTATTGGGTTCTCTGATATTGTAGGAAAGATCAATACACGCAAGGCCGAAAGATGAAAAGAAATGTAAGGCTCTTCCAACTCTGCGTTGTGACTCTTGAATTTGGATTTAAATAGGCCAGATATCATTGTGGTAGTCCAATTGCGATAATGCTACAAAATTCGTATCCTTTCGATGTTTTTGGGGTTTCGTTGAGTTTGGCTTAAGTAGAGGGAAGTTGCATTTTCTCAAGAAGATAATACTACCCTACAATTTTTTTGGGATTAGAACAGTTTTTCATTTGTTATATAAATTTGCAGTGGCGCCTACACAAATTGCATTTGGTGGTGCTGCATCCACATCCGTGAAAGTGTATGGTGCTCAGAAAGGTGGGAGTACTTCAGCCACTGATGGTATGGTATCCTTCGATGTAGTCTTTTCGTTTATCTGCTAATGAGATGCTTCCTTCTAGTACCTCAGCCTCGATCGTGTTTTTGCAGCTGCTGCCTCGGGCATGAAAGTGGAGAAAGAATACGGTTCGCCATGGGTAGGTTACATTATGACTCAGATATGCATAGTTATTGATTTCTTCACTATCCCTATTTTTCTGAATTTTATATGTGTGTGTAAATGTGGATGTTGTTGCAGAATCAGTACAGTTATTACCCTGTAACTCTTCCTCTCAGACCGCCATATTCCGGTGATCCTGGTAAGTTGTGGAATGCATCTTAGAAAAGAAATATTATGTCGCATGAGAGAAGCAATAGGACTGTCAAATTTTCAACAACACGACACGTTGTAGCTGTTATATAGTTGTCTAGGCATTGCTTTTTCGTTATAGGATCCACATCCAACAGGTTTCGTTTTCCATCTGATCATATCTGTTTCATCTGCTGTCAAGGTTAATCTCAACCTGTGTTTGAATAATGCACCAAATGTTCTACCTATACCACTTGCAGAAATTCGTAATCAGGAAGAATTTGGAGACGGTTCGGAGGAGTCAACTTATGATGAAAACTCAACAAAACCGGCAAATGATCTTGATCTATTGGTTGGTATTTCGAAAGTTAAAGCTCAAACAGTGCATGCTTGTATCCTATTATTTACAGTTGATAGTTTGTTGGCAGGAGGAAAATAAAGCAACAAGTATGTTCTTTCTTCAGTTACCGCAGTATCTGCCTATGATGAAACGATCAGCTACAGCAGATGGCCCTGAGGCAACAAAAAGCTCACGGCCACCAGGAAGCGCACACAACATGCAGAAGTTTTGTGCTTTGTCTGATTTACCACCTGGCCACATGGGTAAGATGCTGGTGTACAGAAGCGGTGCTATCAAGCTGAAGCTAGGAGATACCCTTTTCGATGTGAGTACATTTCATAATGAAGATGCTAAATCGAATATCTTCTCTTGTCTTCCTCACTTTCGCCTTAACTGTTCGTGCTGAAAATGCCTTTAAAGGAGATCGTAGATTTCTGTATGTGTTAGCAAACTCCAGTTAACTACGTTCTTGTATAAAATCTTGTCAATTTTCTGCAGGTCTCCTCAGGAATGAAGTGTGGTTTTGCCCAGGATCTTGTGGTTACTAATGAGAACGAGAAGGGATTTGGTACTATCGGCGAGCTGAACAAGCGAGCCATTGCAACCCCAGATATTGACTCCATTTTGGAAAGTGTAGATGGTTTATTCTAGCTTTTTTTGCCCATTTACGAATACAGTTTTGGTTTGTGAGAGTGAAAAATTGCGGCACTTTCTTCATTCGACATTATCCGAGAAAATAGATGACAAGTTCCAATAGGTAAGACTAAATACCTTGATAATATGCAGAAGAGCGGAGTGTTCCAAGCGAACGTATTGCAACTAACCCTCTCTGTTCTGATGGTATTGAAATAAATCCATATTCTTTGTGTGCTTGCGAAGTTTCTACGTTCTCTGTTTGCAAATAACATTACACATTCGCTTCTCCATTAGACATTAGACAGATAGGATTCTTAAATCTACTGCTCTTGTAAATCGGGCTCTTGTCGGCCATCTGAATCCAAGACACGGCAGTCAAAGATCATATCGGCTTCTCACTCTCTCGTGGGTCGATTCTCATAATCTGAATGCATTTTCTTAATACATAATTACTGGGACAAACAGTCCTAATGGTGGTGGTGATATGTTTATTGGGACTCTAAGAAGACACTGAACTTAATAAGTAAACCCTACATCTTGACTTCTTCACTATGAAGAACACTGTTTAAATGTAAAGGCCACACGGTTTGTCATTTCAAATCACATTATTGAAACCGAAATTTAGATAACCCTCCCTAGATTTGGTGCAATGTGATTAGAGCTCCATGTTGTGGTTGAAGAATGGTAACCGTATATGGAGCATGAGTATAGGAAGACGAGAGCTCGAACGAGAAGTGTTGCAGAAGCATAGCTAGAGCAACCTTTGCTTCCATTATTGCAAAGTTCTGGCCGATGCAGGTCCTCGGGCCCCATCCGAATGGAAAGAACGCTTGCTGGTGGTCCTTCGTTGCCTTGGACACTCCTTCTGAGAATCTCTCTGGTTTGAATTCCCCTGCATCATCACCCCACAGGCTGGGATCATGGTGAATCAGTAGGGTTGGGAGAGTAATGTCAACTCCTGCCGGAACAATGATATCTCCTATTTTCGTTTCTTTGTACGTGTGTTGGTACCCTGCAATCGCTGGCGGGTACAGCCTTAAAACTTCATTAAGTATCATGGTTACCTGCAAAAGAATTACAAAGTATTTAGAAGAAGCTGCAAAGATTTTTGTGATTGTAAAGAGTGGTCATGCAGAGAGAAATGCTCACAATTTTGAGGTGGCTTATAGCTTCAAAATCGGGTTCCTTTTTCCCACAAACTCGAAGGACTTCGTGCCTTGCCTTCTCTTGCCAGTCCAATCAGGGTCCATGTTATCCAGCTTGAGGTGGTTTCTTGGCCGGCAAGATAAAACTGCTTGCACTCCTCTATCACCTCTTCGATTGTCAACGTCTCATTGGTTTTCACGTTGCTTGGATTTTCTGATGAATCCTTCTGGTTATTAGACTGCAACAGCACTCCTAGCAAGTCATCAACCCTTGATTCCCCAGCCCTCATCGCATTCATTTTCTTCTCAATTATCTTTCGTAGCATTGACGTGATGTCTTTGGCCAATTTCTTTCTCCTTTGGTTCTTTTTTGTTGGAACAAATCAGTACTCAAACAGTCAAAATGTTAATTTTTATCGCTAACAAATATGAAAGCATGAAAGCTAGGGTTTTAGACAATGGAAATTGGAAATGCACCTGAAACCAGGAACGTATAAAGTAGTCATTGCTTCAAATGTCAGCACTAGAAGCTCTTTCTGAAGCTCGAAAACCTTCTTCCCTTCTTTGTACGTGCTTCCAAACGCTGCTCGAGAAATAACTTCTGCACTAAGCTTTTGGATCTCAGGCCAGATATCCATTTCAAAACCTCCTCCTCCTCCAAGGGGAACCACCCTTTTCCACTGCTCTATCATTTCGTCACAACTGACTGCGAAAACCGATTTCATTTCCTACATGTAAAAAAAGAAGGAATGAATCATTCTGAAAAGAAAAAAAAAAAAAAAAAAAAAAAGGAGTCTCTAAAAGCAGAACAAAATTTTCTGGAAATACAAACCTTGAGTCGTTCTAAGTGGAAGCAGGATTGATAATTCTTCTGTGTTTGGTCCATTTCTCACCCTCTAGACTTGCAAGTCCTCTCGTCAGGATGAGAATCAATGGATTCAATGGCGGCTTACCGAAATGGCCTTGCTTGTTCAACAAAATTTCTTTCATCAGCTCTGTGTCCATGATGATCAATCTTGGTGTTGTCCCAACCCAATACATTGATATTTTGCCTGTATTCAAGAAGGGGAGAAATTTTGAAATGCCCAATTAACTTATAACCTTCTTCTGACTTGCCTTCTCGACTTTTAATTTGATTTTAAGTCTCCCATAATCTTTTAAAACATGTCAAAATTTTCAAGTGAATGGATAAAAATAACCTTCAATTTAATGTAAAATTGACATATTTTGATTTTAGGAGTAACTTGACACGTTTTAAAAGTTAGAACATCAAGGAAACCAAAACCAAATTAAAGTTCATAGGCACAATATTGACCTAGAAAATATAAATAACTCTTATTGGCATTATGAAAAGTAACATAATTCACAAGGTGTGTTACCATATTTCTGCATGATAGTTGAGGTGAACGGGTCGACACGTGAGGCAATCTGGTGAGTTAAGCTCATAGGCTTGGACCATGCTTCCTTGATCAGCCTAACAAACTCCTTCATGTCTCGAATGAGTGGCCTGTAAGGGGTGCCTCTAATCCCTTGTCGCTTCAGCTGCCTCTCAAGCCACTTGGGTTTCCAAAAAATGGAGTAGGAAACCCTAGCAGCACCATAGAGCAGCAGAACAAATGCAAGAGAACATAATAGCAGTACATATTCTTCCATACTAAATAAAACTGAGATTGTTTGAATGTTTGATGTATGATGATTCACAAACTCAAACTTGAGCAATATATAATAGAGATTTTGGAGCTCCCAGTCAAATGCTTATCTTGTAACAAAGGAAATAATCTGTCAAATCTGATGTTCTTTGATAATGTTAATTAGACATTTTTGTTGATTAATGATGTTCTATCTTGTAAAAAAGGAAATAATCTGTCAAATCTAATGTTGCTTTACAATGTTAATTCGACATTTTTGTTGACTAATGATGTTTCATTACTTTAAATTAAGTCATTTATCTAGTTATTCTTGATACGTGGACAATACACCATCTGATTAGTCAACTTTTGTTCATGCTTTCTGAGATATCAGATATGACTTTTTATTTTGTACCTCTTGGAATGTTCTGTGTTTACTTGAGGCCCAACTGTTGTAGTTTGCTTGAAGACCAAGCTCTGGTTGGGAGGATCAAATGTGCCTTTTCGTGAGGATCAAGCCTTCGACCCATAAAATAAATAAGAAATAAGAAATTATTACGCCAATTTGGACAAATCATCTATATATGTGGTGTGTTACATCAATGCTACTTATGTGGTGAAAAAATTCTTAATAATATATATTTGATAAGTCTATTATCAATCTCAGTTTAATTCGAACTTTTTATCTAAAATGTTTAACTTTGTCATGTATGCGTCATATACAATGGTGAAAAGGTTTTTTAAGGAATTGGTTGATTGAAACATGCTTTACACTTGAATCAAATTTGCAAAGCGATGCATGTATTTGTGTGACTTGGAAGGATTTTGGATGGAATGTTCGATTTGGACTGAGACAGCTAAGAAACACAACCAAAAACATATTACTATCAAGTTTTTCACCACAAGAGCAACATTGAGTTGTGCAATTTAGCCTACAAATTTATATAACACAAACTCTTTAGTTAAGTGGTTGAGAGTATTAATCCTACATTTGGGAAAGAAGGAACTTTGCATGTGTTAAAAAGTAATTGGGGTATTCCCCATACTGTCACTTGGTTTTATGGTGGAATCTCAACTTTCTTCATGGTATCAGAGCATTGTCAAATGTTTGAAGCCGAACGGCCACACCCGATTTGTGTTGTCCACGTGTTAGACATTTACCACACCCTATATGTGCATATAAGTAGTTAGGCTAAGCAAATTAAAGATGGATTCTACAATCATGTGCATATAAGTAGTTGGACTAAGTAAATTAAAGATAGATTCTACAAGAATAAAATTGAAAATTGAAAAGCAAAGCTTCATAACTATTAATATTTATGAATCAACATGTTTTTCTATTTTCCATCACATGGATAATGAAACTGTGTCTGCCATCTGGTTACCAACTTGAGTCAACTCACCCAGATCATTATCTAAAACTCCCCTCCTAATCAACTGCTGCAGAGCTTGTGCCAATGCTTCAGGAGCTGGAGGATCCACAAACCCATATCTAAATACATCACCAAACCCTAGTCTCTTAATTAAGCACAAGAACAACATTTACAAGGTTTCTCCTTAGTACTTCTGGTGTGGTGTTCTCTTGTAAACCCTCGTAAAAATTATTAGTGTACAACCTGTAGCACGTAGATCCCGCTAGCCCTAGCTCTGCCCTCTGCGTTGCCTCCGCCTTCGAGACGGGACTCATTCGATCCAACTCCTTCCCGGCCATCAGATCATAAGACTTCATCTTGCAAAGACCAGAGTCAATGAAATACTGAATACTGTTCAACATTAGCCATGAAATTTCAGCCGGGCTTGTTGCAAGTACAACCTTCCTAACCCCTTGAGGTGTTGGCTCCAAAACTTCTGCACTAATGGGGCATGTAATCAACTGGGTATGACCATGAGCAATAATTATTTGCTTCAACGAATGGTCAAAGGTTTCGATTTCTTGTTGACCAGGCAAAAATACCAATATGTCACCAGGTGCTTCCATCACATGAAGTACCAGGGTTTGTGTAACTACTAAATCCACCAATTCATAGCCATCTTCCAGGGTATGCATGTATTGTATCTGATTACGCCCCCTTCGTCGGGGAATTTGGAAAATCGGGTTAGAATCGAAAAAGTCACAATTTTTTTGAGCATCTATGACACTTGATTAACAGCTTAAAAGCGGACGATTTTAGTCGAGTAATATTTCTAAGTATTCTAAGTAAATATCAGTTGAGAGCGTTCTCTCTTGTGCCTCATCCACCATCGCCACACTGTAGCTCTCCAAATTTGCTTCCCTCTCAAATATTTGACGCACTAAAATCCCATCCGTCATGTATTTAATTTGATCAAAACATTAGTATGACCCAAATTATTAGGGTTGGAATAGCCTACCTCATGTCCAAGCTGGACTCCCATCTCCTCAGCAACTTTGGCGGCAACATCTGGCATGACATGAGCGATTCCACGTGGCAGTGAGATTCCAATCTTTTTCTTTCCATCCATTGTGTACCCGGCCTCATGTAGGTATTGAGGGATTTCTGTAGTTTTTCCACATCCAGGTTCCCCAACAATAACAAGAACCTGATATTGCTTCGAGCAACCGATCATGAAAGAAGTAGAGGGGTAGTTTTTTTTCTCTCCTCGTCGAGCTTCTAGCTTAATGTTGGTTTCGAGTTCGCCTGAGAAATAGATGTTGCTGATGAAGATAACAACTTCAGATTTCTGAAAGTTTAGGATTGAAGCCACCGGAAAACTGTACTGCATTTCAATTTAGAAGGTAGAATGCCCCATGAAAGGCCTTTATATAGAGATCTAATCAGTTTTAAACTCAAACAACACGGACTGGGATTACTTGTTCTTGGTGGAAAAGATAAACCTGAACTGTTTAGACTTCTTGAACCAATCCAAGAAACACCAAACCTAATTGCCCGGCCCCTTGTTTGGATGTCCAAAACAATAACAAGTGAAAAAATTAATTGGGCTTTAATTTATCAGGGCTTGTAAAATGCATAACAAAATCTGGACCCAGGCCTTGCCCCATTAAAGCGTTTTTGACACTACTAATATCATTGTCAAAACTCTTCTTTTCTTAATAACGGTTGTACCATTCCATTTTTTATATTCTATTATTATTAAGTGTGGAGGGTTCGAAAATATTACAATTTAATTTAGGAGAAGATGGAGTTTCAAACTTGAGATACATCAGTGAAAATCCAACACCCTATTCACTAGGATATTGGATCACATGCAAAAATATTAACACTTTCGATCACTTGTATTTAGAGAGGAGGGAGAGATCAAACCTAGAACGCAATAGGTTGAAAAAGAAAGCCCTAACCACCAAGTCAATCCATCACTAACAAAAATGTATTCTAGCTGGAAAAATTTATAAAGTGACTTATTGGGGTTTAAAGTGAAATGAAATTACGGGTGTAATTTGTGCAAATTGATTGAGTTGAATACCCAATCTGACTTCAATAGTTTTTTGGGAGTGTTAGGGAGTGCTTTTGTATGAAGCAGTTCAGCTCGCAAGCACTTTGGTCATGACCGCATTTTATTTTTTTCATTCAAACATTGTCAAAAGCATCCTATAATCACTCTCGAACATGCCATTAGTTGGCAGTAGGTATACCAAAATTTAATCGAAACCGAAAAGTCTTAATACTTGCACTAAGTAAGTAAGATTATGCCTTCTAGTCAAATTATTGTAAGGTAGCCCTCCCCTCCTATACCCTATATATTCCTATTTCGCCACATCCTTTCTTTTTGTCTTAAAGCTGTTGAAAAGTCATGGAATATTTACCCTGGTTTCATATTTTGTTCCGCTTGGTTATCGTTATTTCCCTTTCGCTGATCCATTAAAACTTGATACTGGCTAGAAATAGCATTCTAGGGTTTCTGGCGTGCTTGAAAAGTCTCCTCCACAGACAGATATATAAATCAACTGAAGGGAATGTTTGAGAATGGTGAGAGATCTGAACACGCATAATCAATCAATAATATTCCTCCAGAATTGGTAAAAGAAAATGGATGTCGATCAGTACTTTCTTCACTGTCTATTAATTTTCAGTAAAAACCATAGCTCCTCCATATATAGGTCATTTTTTTGGCTTGGTGCGTTTGGACTTGGAGCATAGACTTGAGCAGTTCACTTACCGTATGAAAGTGGGTAAATGAGGAATGATATATTTGTACAAGGACAATGCTTTCCTTATTTTCTTGGAGGAGGAAATCCTTATTCCCTACTACTGTGACTGTGACATTATTTAACCGTACAATAAGGGTAATCAGAACAATTCATTCTCTTTAGTATCATTTACAAATCATTTCTAGAAATATTCATTTGGTTTAAAAATTGTTTAGTCATCCATATAAATCAAATAAATTGACAGCTCATCATCGTAAAGATGGCAAAATGATCTCCAAATCAATTGAATATTGAATGTTTAATGGGAAAAGAGGAGTTTCCTCCTTTTAAAAAAATGAGTAATGTATTATCCTTTGTACAAGCTTACGCTACAAATTGACAAACAAACAACATGAACAAAAAAGATTGAGGTGCCTATGTGATGTGATATATTAAAATTTACCCTGCATACAGTGCTATATCTCGCTACTATATATTAATCAGTAAGACCAAAAAAATATATTAGTTAAGTTTTTGTTGCTTGTCATCATGAAGATCACATTGCTTCAATTGAAGAAAATAACACGAGCTGACAACTTTACATCAGATCGGATTCAGTAAGATTCTCAAATATAAATTATATATATATATTAAAAGAAGGGAACATACAAACATTGTCCAAAATATTGTTCTTTGAGAATTAATTCAATCCACAAACTTTCAAACACATAAACTGGCAACAGAAAACTATAGAAGAGAACATACAAACATTGTGCATGCTACAAAGAATATTAGACAGAAATGTTAATTAGCATGGAACTTAGTGGAGTAGGTAGCACACTGAAGCTTAAAATATAAGGAAGTTGTATAAAATTAAACTAACGATCATATCCGATATTGTTTTTAGATTAAGTGGTTGAGATTAGCAAA